GGCGAGTTTGTCCTTCTCATTTCCAGAAGGCAATGCAGCTGCTAAAGCAGGATCAAAGCCTGAGTGACTTAGGACAATGACGAGAAAGAATACAGTAGCTGAGAAATGGAAATGCAGAGCCGCTTTCATTGATTCTTGCTGCACTCTGCACGTATTTGGAAGAAGAGTGAATGAATTAAGAGCAATGCTTGCAATTTAAAGACAATGGAAAGTTGAAGGCGAAGGCCTCAAGTGACGTGACACAACTCCTTAAGGTTGAATTTCCAGAGATTAAAGAACCCGCCAAACTGACTCGTATATTCTTGACAAAAAGTCCGTCTGGTTAAAATTTAGTTCAGAATTCGTATCGTGCACTTCAGAACTTGGACTAACATGGCGAAGGATGACTAAAAGCAGAAACAACAGATGTAGACCCAAAGACTTGGACCTGGACACAAAAACATGGACCTACAGACATGGACTAATTCAATCCTTTGGCATAGAAAAAGTCAGGGAAGGATTTGATTTGTCAAAATTTCGAGTTTTTGACCACATGACATTTGAATAGAAGTTCAAGGACAGATCAAGCACTCTTTCCTTATTTAATGAAAGAAATGATGAAAAGAATATTTGTTCATAAAACATATTATGGCATGCCATTACCGGGAACATATCCAATGTCCACATCGTTATGAAAACAGGAAGGTCGTTTTAAACTGATTTCACAAGAAAGCTAATTCTGAGAGAACGGACTCTTAAGATGTATCCCCAGGAAACCGGTTCGTATTGACATACAAATGCATGCTCCAAGATTACCAAAAGAAGCATCTTTTGCTAGTTGGACTTGCACTGGGTTCATCCCTTTTTCTATTCTCTATGCCCTGCTTTAAGGATTCCAACCGACTCCTGCACAAAAATTAAGAATGGCCTTTTGGATATCAAAAGCACCAAGAGATATTTTATTTTTATTTTTTTCCATTTAGAATATTGAAGAAAAAATAGACCATCACCATACTTCTGAAAGCCTAAAAAAATCAAAGTACAAACTAAGACACAGGAACTCTTTAAAAACAAATAGGCACCTTGTTGATCACTCTAATAGTATGAAAATGATAGTAACAATCAAGGAAACTTGACAACTAATAAAACTCATGGCAACTGATACATATATTACGATTATGGATTTGTTTAACATTACTTAGTATCTGAAAGACGTCCATGCAAACTCCATCTCTGGTGGAATCCTTCAATGCCTTCAATTCCACTAGCCAGAATCAAGTGCCTGGAAATGTAATGTAATAACACATGAATTGCTTCCAAAGACAATCAATTGGCTAGGGCAAAACTACCAGTGGAAAAGCCAAGTATTACTTTCAGTTTCAGAACAAAATGTAGATGATGGCACTAGTGATGTTAAGATTTCTTATAACATCTAGTAGTTCACTTTCTTCTTGTTTTTATTTTTAATCATTAATTATTTTAATTCTAAAAAGTGATGCTCAAAAATTCACAAAGAATATGATGGAAAAGCACTCAGATAGTTGAATCTACATGGTTGGAGCAAAAACTATAATAGCTTTGGCAAACAAAAATGTGGAACATTTTGGGTACAGAGGTTCCAATAACTAAAGAGCTTCCAACCATAGGTTACAAAGGTGGATGGAGATTAAGTTAAGAATTCTGTGATTAGCACCCAAAGATAAGGTCCATAGTTTCAAACCACTTACCTCTCCAATGCTGTGAGCCTGTGACTTCTGATTCGGGCTCAGAAGCTCTTTCCTTTGCTTGTTCTAAAGGCATTGATAACCCCAATTTTCCCTCACTATCTTTGAGTCGCTGCCTTAGTTCCTTATCCTGCGACTCAGATTCACAAACAGATTTGAAGAACTATGAATTTTGATTTACAAATCTAAAATACCTGTTAAAAATCTCACCCTTCTTTCAGCACACTGTCTATACAATACAAGCTCGTCTTGACAAAAGGGTTCAACATTGTTAATCTGCAGGCCTAAAGCATAAAACAATAAGTTACTCAAAGAATCTAATTAAT